TCAGATAATCCCCGCCGTCTCGGTTGGCGTCTTCACGTTCATCCAAATTAAGATTGAATTGAAAATCGTAGTTAAATTTCCCTGGATTGCGTTGAGGCACCTGTGGCCCCTGATGCTGGGAGTAGGAGGACATTGAGGAACCTCGCCCATTATTTAAGGAGGGCGGCAGGGTAGATGGCAGCTGTACGGTGCCATTGACAAAACGCCTTGGCGGTGGCAAGGGGGAACGATTGGGTGGAGGTGTGGCAGCCAACACCTCGTGCGTTGTGGAACGATATTCGTTGAAAACCTTCTCACGACGTTCACGCAGCAATTCATCGAAATCATGGCGAGCAGGGGTTTTTGTTAGTGTGTCAACGCCATATGTTGGTGTATTGCGGCCATAAATGTTGTGGTTGTTGTTGTTGCTGCTGTTGCCATTACTGATATTGCCATTTAAGCCATAGATGTTGTCTCCAATATCTGCACCACCACTGTTGCTGCTATTCTTATTGCCATAACTGTAGTGGTAGGTATTTGCAATGGTGTTGGTTGAGGAGCGCGTAGGTGATCGACTATTACCATTCGAGTTCGTGTTACTGCTGCCGCATGGGGAAATAAATATTAAAAAATTATTTAAAAAAATATATTTTTAAGGCAGAGAAAGACGGACAATTTTAAAGCAAAGTTTTTATAGATTTTTTTCAAGGATTTCTCGGTTATTTTCTTTGATTCAGCTCAGCTGAACAAGGTTTCCTATAGGAACTCTTCAAAGCAGCCTGGCTGAATAAGGTTTCCTATAGGAAATCTTCAATTCAGCCTGGCTGAATAAGAGTTTCTATAGAAAATCTTCAATTCAGCGTGGCTGAATAAGAGTTTCTATAGAAAATCTTCAATTCAGCCTGGCTGAATAAGAGTTTCTATAGGAAATCTTCAATACAGCCTCGCTGAATAAGAGTTTCTATAGGAAATCTTCAATACAGCCTCGCTGAATAAGAGATTTCATAGGAAATTTTCAATTCATCTTAGCTGAATAAGAGTTTCTATAGGAAATCTTCAATTCAGCCTGGCTGAATAAGAGTTTCTATAGGAAATCTTCAATTCAGCCTGGCTGAATAAGAGTTTCTATAGAAAATCTTCAATTCAGCCTGGCTGAATAAGAGTTTCTATAGAAAATCTTCAATTCAGCCTGGCTGAATAAGAGTTTCTATAGAAAATCTTCAATTCAGCCTGGCTGAATAAGAGTTTCTATAGAAAATCTTCAATTCAGCCTGGCTGAATAAGAGTTTCTATAGAAAATCTTCAATTCAGCCTGGCTGAATAAGAGTTTCTATAGAAAATCTTCAATTCAGCCTGGCTGAATAAGAGTTTCTATAGAAAATCTTCAATTCAGCCTGGCTGAATAAGAGTTTCTATAGAAAATCTTCAATTCAGCCTGGCTGAATAAGAGTTTCTATAGAAAATCTTCAATTCAGCCTGGCTGAATAAGAGTTTCTATAGAAAATCTTCAATTCAGCCTGGCTGAATAAGAGTTTCTATAGAAAATCTTCAATTCAGCCTGGCTGAATAAGAGTTTCTATAGAAAATCTTCAATTCAGCCTGGCTGAATAAGAGTTTCTATAGAAAATCTTCAATTCAGCCTGGCTGAATAAGAGTTTCTATAGAAAATCTTCAATTCAGCCTTGCTGAATAAGAGTTTCTATAGAAAATCTTCAATTCAGCCTGGCTGAATAAGAGTTTCTATAGAAAATCTTCAATTCAGCCAGGCTGAATAAGGTTTTCAAGACCAACCAACTTTTATGAAACTGAATTTCTATATGACGTATGATTATTATGAATTTTTTAAATAATATAAATCATACGCATCGTAGAAGGTATATCGACACAAATTTTAGAATTTTAAATATTTTTTAAACGTAATTTTTTTTAAATTTTTTTCCTCCTTAAACTCCACCTCTGCTCACAAAATATCCCCATGAAATGTAGACATTAGAGCAATAGCGGCGGCAGCAACAACAACAACATACCCAACTACTCTGCAGTAAAATGCTAAACAAATTAAGATAGGCAATATATGTATGAGTGTGTGTGTGTGTTTGATTTTATGTTTTGCAAAGGTGTATAAGATAAACAAGCAAAATAGAGAAAAACAAAAACAGCAACTACAAAAACAATGATAATAACCACAATAAAATATTTGAGACTTTGATGCTTCTGGATGACTGGTTGGTTAGTTGGTAGGTTGAGTGGGGGCAAAAACACACAACAACAACAAAAATACACCCGACCCAACCGATCGACCGACCGACTGTCAGTCAAGTCAAGTATGAACGCGTATATTGAAACATATTGCTACTTTAACGAATAACATAAATTGTTGTTACTGTTGTTGTTGTTGCTGCTGCTGTTGTTGGCTTTGTTTTGTATTCCAATAAACGCCACACAAACGACAAGCACAACAAGACGCGTAGTATTTTGCGCTAGTGATGTCATCTGGCACAAGTTGTTTTCTAAACTTGTTTGATGAGTGTGTGTGTGTGTGCGCGAGTATGTCTGTCCATCTGTTGGGACAGACACATTGATTTTGGCTCACAAAATACACAGATACAAGTCAAACAAAAGCAGGCAATGTGGAATATATCAATCGTATTAATGTAAATTTCTCAGAGAGCAAAACCGGAGAGAGAGAGGGAGTAAGAGAGTGAGAAATTTTAATTTTTTTCAATGAGGGACATAACTTGAAATACTCAGAGATCCAAGTTTTCTTGCGGTTAAAGATCAAAAAATGAATTCAGAGCAAAGAGAGATTAAGAGCGTGGTACTGAAAAGAAGGGGGACAATGAGCAAACAATAGACAGGGATGCCAACTTTACTAAAGAAAATATTGCAAATTTCATTAAAACTTATAAAATAAATTTAATTCAAACTTGCTGAATAAGTGTTTCTATAGAAAATCTTCAATTCAGCCTGGATGAATAAGAGTTTCTATAGAAAATCTTCAACTCAGCCTGGCTGAATACGAGTTTCTATAGAAAATTTTCAATTCAGCCTGGCTGAATACGAGTTTCTATAGAAAATCTTCAAATCAGCCTGGCTGAATACGAGTTTCTATAGAAAATCTTCAATTCAGCCTGGCTGAATACGAGTTTCTATAGAAAATCTTCAAATCAGCCTAGCTGAATAAAAGTTTCTAAGTTTCTGAATAAGAATTTCTATAGAAAATCTTCAATTCAGCCTGGCTAAATAAGAGTTTTTATAGAAAATCTTCCATTCAGCCTGGCTGAATAAAAGTTTCTATAAAAAATCTTCAATTCAGCTTGGCTGAATAAAAGTTTCTATGGGAAATCTTCAATTCAGCCTGGCTGAATAAGAGTTTCTTTAGAAAATATTCAATTCAGCCCCAGCTAAATAAGAGTTTCTTTAGAAAATCTTCAATTCAGCCTGGCTGAATAAGAGTTTCTATAGAAAATCTTCAATTCAGCCTGGCTGAATAAGAGTTCCTATAGGAAATCTTCAATTCAGCCTGGCTGAATAAGAGTTTTTATAGAAAATCTTCAATTCAGCCTGACTGAATACAAGATTCTATAGAAAATCTTCAACTCAGCCTGGCTGAATACGAGTTTCTATAGAAAATCTTCAATTCAGCCTGACTGAATACAAGATTCTATAGAAAATCTTCAATTCAGCCTGGCTGAATACGAGTTTCTATAGAAAATCTTCAATTCAGCCTGGCTGAATACGAGTTTCTATAGAAAATCTTCAAATCAGCCTAGCTGAATAAAAGTTTCTAAGTTTCTAAGTTTCTGAATAAGAGTTTCTATAGAAAATCTTCAATTCAGCCTGGCTGAATAAGAGTTTCTATAGAAAATCTTCAATTCAGCTTGGCTAAATAAGAGTTTTTATAGAAAATCTTCAATTCAGCCTGGCTGAATAAGAGTTTCTTTAGAAAATCTTCAATTCAGCCTGGCTGAGTAAGAGTTTCTATAGAAAATCTTCAATTCAGCCTGGCTGAGTAAGAGTTTCTATAGAAAATCTTCAATTCAGCCAGACTGAATAAGAGTTCCTATAGGAAATCTTCTATTCAGCCTGGCTGAATAAGAGTTTCTATAGGAAATCTTCAATTCAGCCTGGCTGAATAAGAGTTTCTATAGGAAATCTTCAATTCAGCCCGGGTGAATAATATTTTCTATAGAAAATCTTCAATTCAGCCACGGCTTAATAAGAGTTTCTATAGAAAATCTTCAATTCAGCCCGGGTGAATAATATTTTCTATAGAAAATCTTCAATTCAGCCACGGCTTAATAAGAGTTTCTATAGAAAATCTTCAATTCAGCCAGACTGAATAAGAGTTTCTTTAGAAAATATTCAATTCAGCCCCAGCTAAATAAGAGTTTCTTTAAAAATTTTCAATTCAGCCTTGCTGAATAAGAGTTTGAAATCTTCAATTCAGCCTGGCTGAATAAGAGTTTCTATAGGAAATCTTCAATTCAGCCTGGCTGAATAAGAGTTTTTATAGAAAATCTTCAATTCAGCCTGGCTGAATAAGAGTTTCTTTAGAAAATCTTCAATTCAGCCTTGCTGAATAAGAGTTTCTATAGGAAATCTTCAATTCAGCCTGGCTGAATAAGAGTTTCTATAGGAAATCTTCAATTCAGCCTGGCTGAATAAGAGTTTCTATAGGAAATCTTCAATTCAGCCTGGCTGAATAAGAGTTCCTATAGGAAATCTTCAATTCAGCCTGGCTGAATAAGAGTTCCTATAGGAAATCTTCAATTCAGCCTGGCTGAATAAGAGTTCCTATAGGAAATCTTCAATTCAGCCTGGCTGAATAAGAGTTTTTATAGAAAATCTTCAATTCAGCCTGACTGAATACAAGATTCTATAGAAAATCTTCAACTCAGCCTGGCTGAATACGAGTTTCTATAGAAAATCTTCAATTCAGCCTGACTGAATACAAGATTCTATAGAAAATCTTCAATTCAGCCTGGCTGAATACGAGTTTCTATAGAAAATCTTCAATTCAGCCTGGCTGAATACGAGTTTCTATAGAAAATCTTCAATTCAGCCTGGCTGAATACGAGTTTCTATAGAAAATCTTCAAATCAGCCTAGCTGAATAAAAGTTTCTAAGTTTCTAAGTTTCTGAATAAGAGTTTCTATAGAAAATCTTCAATTCAGCCTGGCTGAATAAGAGTTTCTATAGAAAATCTTCAATTCAGCTTGGCTAAATAAGAGTTTTTATAGAAAATCTTCAAATTCAGCCTGGCTGAATAAGAGTTTCTTTAGAAAATCTTCAATTCAGCCTGGCTGAGTAAGAGTTTCTATAGAAAATCTTCAATTCAGCCTGGCTGAGTAACAGTTTCTATAGAAAATCTTCAATTCAGCCAGACTGAATAAGAGTTCCTATAGGAAATCTTCTATTCAGCCTGGCTGAATAAGAGTTTCTATAGGAAATCTTCAATTCAGCCTGGCTGAATAAGAGTTTCTATAGGAAATCTTCAATTCAGCCCGGGTGAATAATATTTTCTATAGAAAATCTTCAATTCAGCCACGGCTTAATAAGAGTTTCTATAGAAAATCTTCAATTCAGCCCGGGTGAATAA